TGAGAGTGAGAATTCACTCACTACAGCTGTGGTGGCATCAAGCCATTCATGAGGGGTCAGCTTGGCACTAGACCCTCCTTATGGCGATCACCACACTGTGGATCAAATTTCAAAATGAGATTTGAGGGGGGAAAAACAGACCATATCCAAGTTACAGCATGGATGAAATTGTCTAGAGTGAGAATATAGAATTAAAAAGAGAAGAGGGCTAGGAGAATTTTCAAGGAATTTCTTTTTAGGCATGAAAATTCTTTGCTGTGGCAGGCTACCTTCTGCGTTGTAGGAAGGTTAGCCCTCTCTGGCCTCTACCCATTAGATTCCTGTAGCATCCTCTACCCAGGTGTGACAGCCAAAAGCTACCCCTTGTTAGTTTCATTTATAGAAACTTATTTCTAAGAAATTACATTTGAGGCAAGGATTGAGCTGCAAGCCAATATTTAATGGCCATTTGGAGTGAGATGAGCCTGTGGAAGAGGTAGATCAATGTGAGGAAAACCAAGAGAATACACTTATCAAAGAAGTCCAAAATAAACAATGCAAAAGAAAAATGAGTGATTAGCCATGTGAAAGGATGCCACAAATAGATTTAGTAAAATGCAGATTCCTAGTTACTTAGCAGGTGCTGATTCAATGACAGTATGGAAGACCTGGCCAGACTGGAGTGAGGAGGAAATGTAAATTTCAAAAAGAGACACAGAGAGAAGTTGAGTGTAGATAATAATTTGGGTGAGTTCATCTGTGAATGGGAGTAAAATAGTAGCTGTAGAGAGATACAGGGTAAAGCCCCCTTTTTATAGTTCAAGAAGATCTTGTTAAAACATGAGTAAATTATGATGTGGGGATATCATTATTTGACCAATTTCTTGTTACTTTATATGAATTCATCTTTTAAATTCATCTTTCCAAATTTTCATTTGTAGAAATAATGCTGAGGGGGGCACTCCTGCAGCTCAATCCTTGGTTAAGCTATTAGGGAAAAATGTAGATCTGCTTGCATGTTAAAAGTTTATCAAATGTGAATTACCAGATAACTAGAAAGTGATAACTTGATAGGCTGGAAAACGCTGGCTTTAAAGATATCAATTAAATACTATACAGATACAAAAGTGTGAAAATATTTCACACCGTTGATTATAAAGATACAAATGTCCACTTTACCTTCTTATTAAATCTATTCCATGAGTGATTTGCAGGGTTTGCTCACAACAATTGGAATATTTAATAAAATCTACTTTTACTCTTCTGTAATTCCTCAGTTGGAAACAGTGGTCCCTTGATGATGATCTAGGGCTTTGAAGAATAAATTGATTCTAAAGAGAAAATTCGATGCTACTTACAATGCTGTCTAACTGGCAATGCGCTGTCATTTGTCTGTTGTATTACGTCTTGCTTTCCCTACCTCCTTCATTTAATCATGTCCCTTAACTTGCCTTTAAGCAGCATTAGAGAAAACCAAAATATTGTTGTATTACTCTTTCAACTGTTTTCTTTCCTTATCCCAGAGACAGCTCACACATAATATGCCCAATATAGAACTCTTTTTTTCTATCAATTATATTACATTATTTTGGGTAGTGGGGGTGAGAAAACCATCTCAATGTTACACTGTGTAGAGTGAAATCACACTGAAGTTTGTTTTTAGTTTCTCATTAACATGAGGGTACATATGATTAGGTGGGATTCTTGTTTCTCCTCCCTGACACCAAGTTTCTTCTGAATTCTTTACATTTACCTAGTCAGTCAGTCAACTTAGGCCAAACATGAGGGAGACATAATAGTTTTCTCCCTCTCTTTCCTTAGAACTGTCTTTTCTAGTGAAATCTCGCTCAAGGTATACATGATGAGGATTTTTTTAAAGATAGTCTTACCCTGTTGTCCCAGGCGAGAGAGCTATGGCATCAGCCCAGCTCACAGCAACCTCAAACTCAAGCAATCGTTTTTACCTCAACCTTTTGAGTAGCTGGGACTACAGGTTCCTGCCACACAACACTCAGCTAATTTTTCTAGTTTTCTGTAGAGATGAGGGTCTAACTCTTGCTCAGGCTGGCCTTGAACTCTTGAGCTCAGGTGATCCTCTCACGTTGGCCTCCCTGAGTGCGAAGCCTATGAGTATGAACCAATGCACCTAGCCTAGCAATTTTAATTAGTATTTAAAAGACCAAATCCTGAATAAAAATTACATCCTAGTCCAAAAATATATTTTCTTATGATAAATAAAATATAATTTTGTGCATTATTCAGTACTTGAATTATTTTTATTATAGTGTCCTTTCTCTGTTTTTATATAAATTGAATTACTTGCCTTTAGTAGACTAGAAGTGTATCTATCCAAATTTCTTTGTAACTCACCCATCTAAACCGTATATCGGGATGACACTTATTATGGCAGTAAAGATGAATAATTAACATTTACTATGTGCTTTATCTGCTTTTACGTCATATATGTATCACTTTAAGAAAGTTACTTCCATTTTATTTGTCAACATATTCAGTAGAAACTCACTCCTATTACTAAACCTATAAACCATCTTAAAAGGTTAATATTTTCTTAAAACTAGTGCTTTAAAATAAATAAATGGAATTTGAAACCATACCTGTTTGAATCTAAAGCTTTGTTTACTTTTTCTCTGTGATTTTTGGCACACTGGCTATTGTTGTGCTAATTGGATTTAGAAATCATCTGTCATTTGATTCTGGCATCTAATATACATAAATAATGTCCAAGGGGTGGAAGCAATCTGATCTGCTAATATACTTCCTAGTTCTAAGCGCATAATCAAGGAAATACAAAATAGTGCTTGTAAAATGTGTACTTAGTTTATAAAGTAAGTTTCCATGTTCATGGCTGGTGTTACCTAAAATTCAAAACACGATAAATATGCAAATAATAGACAATATTATTTACATTCATAACTAATATGTATACTTTTCTTTTATCCAAAACATTACTGATAAAACTTCACATGCATTAACTTTCTAATTCTCATCATATTGATCCATAATAGACATAAATATTAATAATGAAAGTGGATCTGAATTTGATGAATTTGTCAGATAGTTTCAAGTATGAAATGCTAAGTATTTGGTGTTCTATGATGGAAATCACCACAGCATGTAGCTACTGTACAAATATAAAGTTATAGATTGGTATCATGAAAATAGTCAATGGTATTTTTTAAGGAATAACCTTTTTCCTTTTTTATTTGAGAAAGAGTCTTAGAGATTGAATGCTGTGGTGTCATAGTGCACAGCAACCTCAAACTCTTGGGCTCAGGTGATTCTCTTGCCTCAGTCTCCCAAGTAGCTGGGACTACAGGCACCTACCATTGCCTATTTTTAGAGACAGGATCTTGCTCTTGCTTAGGCTGGTCTCAAACTCCTGAGCTCAAGAAATCCACATGCCTTGACCTCCCAGAATTCTAGGATTACAGGTGTGAGCCACCACACCCAGCCAACCATTGACCTTTCCATGACATTTCTAACTTAAAAAAGAAAGTTTACTTTCAAATAAGCTTCTTTCTGCTATAGGGTACTTAAAATGCTGCCTCAGCAATGTCTAATGTTCCAGAGCAAAGAAAGAGAGTTTTTCCTAGTTAGTGTAGTGGTGAGGAAGGAAGGAAGGAAGGAAGGAAGGAAGGAAGGAAGGAAGGAAGAGACAGTTTCAAAGATTACCTGTCTTTCAAATATATTTTTTAATTTTGGGGTAAGCATTTTCACCATTGTTACGTATTATAATCTCATAGGGGATGTTAATGTGCTTGGTTTCATTTTTTTTAATGTTACAGTGGAAAAATTCGTAACCTTCTCAACACATTAGCTGAAGTGTATCTGCTGCATAGATACAAGGTATGTCTGCCTCTGTCCAAGGTGCACACTGGTCTCTTCATGCCTAACTGTGCACACACACCCATGGAACAGGAAAGGTGTCATGGAATTGGGGAAACAGAGGGAAGTAACCACCTCTCTTACACTGAAACCTACATATAAACGTGATGCGCTACAATCTACACTGTGGGATTTTTTTTCTCTGTAGGAGGATGAATTTTTCAGAATGCATCCCTACCGTCAAGTGACATATGACTATGAAAGTTTTCCAGAAAACCTTTCAGTTGAACCATATCATTTCATTTCCTTTGTCCTTAAGTCACTGAAGTTACATGTCTGGGAGTCTGCATTGTTGATGTAGACTATGACAGCTGAAAGTTATGAATCATTCTAGAAACACTGAAGCACAAGTTTACTGTAACAAGGTGTTGAGATAGAAATCAGCAGTTGTGGTGTTGCACTTCAGCCTCCTAAAACACTCCCTCCAAAATTTGAGTTGGCCTAATTATCTTCCTTTACTGTTATGTTCCAGAATAACAGTTTGTTCAAAAGGATTTGTGACGTTTCATCACTATGTATAATGTGACTACAGTGCATTGACTAAAAATAAAAAAATTAAGTAATCCAAGCCATGAATAAACTCCTTCTGATTGTATTGTTCTGACTATGGATTCGTGTTTCTCTCAAGTTATTTGGAACTTCCTTAAAGTTGAATACTTATCTGAAACTTTGCTTTTCATATTCTGTTCTTATTTTCTTGCAAAATGTTCTCTGGAAAGGCTCTGGCTCTGGAGTTGACTCCCCTAAAACAATATGCAACCCCCGTTCAGGGTTGGGGCAGTAGCTCATGCTAATGGCGAAAGACATGGTCAAAATGGCATGTGGAAATTTTCAACAAACAGCAAAACCAGATGTGTTTTCAAGATTGCAAATATTCTATTTGGTCTTGAAAGTTTCAGAACCAAATAGCTGAAGTTATGCTCAACAAAAGAACTTTTAATCATTTTGAAGATAAGAAAACAACCTAATACAGGTTCCAAAAGGGGCTCACAAAATAGGAATTTTCTACCATGATCGTCAGTAGGAGCAGATGGAATCATGGGTCAGTTGGTTCTCTCAGGTATGTCCTGGAGCATGCTGTTCTCTGTTGTTTATTCTGTGGCATGCTACAAAACATCAACTATTTGAGAAAGAACAAAATTTGCTTCTTTTTCACTCTTCTAAGTCACAAATCACCTTCAACATTTATTTCCAGACCACATGGTTTCTCTCCAGTGGCCTGTGGCTTCTCCTGTTTGTAATATAAAATGTCTCCAAGCAGAGGTCTTCAGATAGGCCAGAACTATGTATGGGTTAATTTCTAGCTTTTCCAAGTCAACCCCCTTTTTGTAAAAAGAGCCAAATTCTGTGAAGTATTTTCATAAAGGACAGAAATGCTCCTGCTGTATTGATTTTGTGAATTTTTAAACAGAATCTTGGCTGCTCAAGAAATTTTCATTTACCTTTTTATAATTTAAGCCTCAAGATTCTATTATATAACAATTTTGAGATGAATGATTTGACAATATTTTTAAAATTATGTATCAACTTTAAGAGTTATTTCAAGTGTATCTTCCACTGTTTAAAAACTAAATCAAGGATTATTAAATAGTAGAGAGAGAGAATTGTGGAAGTAAAAAGCCTTCCCCACACTACTACCTACATAGAAATAATCGCTGGAATATTTTTTGAATAACCAAATGGCTTGGCAAACTCAAATGAAACTAGTTTCTACACGTCTTCTGTATGAATGTTTAGAGCTACTAAATTTAGGTATTTTGGACCTGAGTATGTTTCCTGGGAGTCCAGAAAGAAGCAATTTGATGAGAACATTAAAAACAACAATAGGACTGAATTAGCCATGGATTTACTAGGTAATTAATTGTGGTAAAAATGCCCAGTTCGTTACGTAAGCATTATAGACATGAGACATATTTAAAGTATTTGGTAAATATAGGGCACAAACTCTAAGCCATCAGATGGACGGTAATCCCGGTGCTCCCCACTGCTGTAGACAGTAAGTCCTTAATTTCCAGATCATGAGGGAATGTGAAGGTGGCGCTTGACTGAGCAGCTATTTATTAACATATGAAAATAGGGCAAACATATCCAGTTGCAGTGTGGAAACCAGTATAAACTATGCAGGAACTTTGGGAGAATCCCGTATCTCTGACAGCTGAGAAAACAGTCCTGGTTAATGATCGTTCCTTCTCTAGGAATTGGCCATATCTTTCTGGTCCTGTTTATAGCTAGACTCAGTTTCATTGCTGTGTGTGGCCCTCTACCATCTGCATTTTTCTTATGATTTCAGAATGCATGCATCATGTGAGTATACATTTTGGTTACATAGTTTATTTTTGTATATTTTAAGTCAAAGTAGTGGTTGTACTCCTCACCCAGAAAGTGTGAAATGTACCCGTTGTGTGGGAATTTACCCAGCCTCTTCTTCCCACCTTCTTCATTTTTCTGAGTTTTGCTTCCATATGAGCACAAAAGCACTGATCAGTAGTTCCAATTTAGTATTGAGTATGTATAATGTTGTTTTCCCACTCTTGGGATATTTCACTTAGGAGAATGGTCTCCAGATTGTTACAGAAGATACTTGATTGTCATCTTTTTAATGGATGAATAGCATTCCATGATATACATATATCATATTTTATTAATCCATTCATGAATTGATGGGCACTTGTGTTGTTTCTACATCTTTGTGATTGTGAATTGTGCTGCTATAAACATTCTAGTGCAAGTGTCTTTATGATAAAATGTCCTTTTTTCTTTTTAGTAAATGACTAGTAATGGGATTTCTGGATCAAATGGTAGGTTGATTTTAAGTTCTTTGAGGAATCTCCATACAACTTTTCATAGTGGTTGAACTATTTTGCAGTCTCACCATCAGTGTATCAGTGTTCCTTTGCTTCCACACCCACACCAGCATTGCTGCTTTGGGACTTCATGATGTGAGCAATTCTCACCGGGTTAGGTGATTTCTCAGTGTAGTTCTGATTTACATTTCCCTGATGGTTAGAGACATTGAGTATTTTTCATGAGTTTGTTGGGCAAACCCCATGAAAAATTTTGTTATATCTTTTGCCCACTTCATTTTTACTTTTAAAATTTCAGAATATTATAGGGCTATACACTTTTTGGTTACATACTTTGTTTTGTACATTTCAGGCCAAAGTTGTAAGTGTGACCTTTCATCCTGAATGTGTGCATTATTATCTGATAGGTATGAATTAACCCAGCCCCTCCTACCCACTCCCACCTACCTGATTCCCAGTAAGTTTTACTTTTACATGTGCATGGTGTTGATTGACTACTTCCAATTTAGTATTGAGTACAGGTGGTGTTTGTTTTCTATTCTTGTGATACTTATAAGAATAATCTCCAGGGTGGTGCCTGTGGCTCAAAGGAGTAGGGCGCCAGCCCCATGTGCCAGAGGTGGCGGGTTCAAACTCAGCCCTGGCCAAAAACTGCAAACAAAAATAAAAAAGAATGATCTCCAGATCCACCCAGGTTGTTACAAAAGATACTAGATCACCATTTTTTTTTTTAAATAGAGACAGTCTCATTTTGTTGCCTGTGGTAGAGTGCCGTGGTGTTACAGCTCAAAGGAACCTCAAACTCTTGGGCTTAAGCAATTCTGTGGCCTCAGCCTCCCAAGTAGCTGGGACTACAGGCGCTGCCACAATGCCCAGCTATTTCTCTGTAATAGTAGCCATTGCTGTTTTAGTAGGCCTGGGCCAGGTTCAAACCTGCCATCCCAGGTATATGTGGCTAGTGCTCTAACCACTGAACATGAGTGCCGAGCCAAGATCACTATTTTTTAAATAGCTGAGTAGGATTCCATGGTATACAAATGCCACATATGTATTGAAGGACATTTGGGTTGTTTCCATATCCTTGCAAATGTTGAAGTGCTAGTGTCTTTAGGATAAAATGTCCTTTTTTCATCTGGACAAATACCTATTAGGGAAATTCCAGGATCAAATGGTAGGTTTACTTTTAGTTCTTCGAGGAATCTCCCTACCACTGTCCATATGTTGTACTAATTTACAGTCCCACCAACAGTGTATAAGTTTCTTTTCCTCTACATGCCAGCCCTTGTTGTTTTGGTATTTTTGGATAAAAGCCACTCTCACTAGAATTAAGTATTATTTCATTGTGGTTTGATTTGTATTTCCCTAATGATTAGAGATGCTGGGCATTTTTTTTTTAATGTATTTGTTGGCCATTAGACTATCTTCCTTTGAAAAGTTTCTGTTCATGTCTTTTGCCCATTTTTTAATGAGGTTGATTGTTTCTTGCTGATTTGCTTAAAGTTCTTTGTGGAATTTGGTTATCCCCTTTATCAGATGTATAGCATGCAAATATTTTCCTCTATTCTATGAGTTGTCTGTTTATTGATTATGACCTTGGCTGTGCAAAAATTTTTTATTTTTAAGAGACAGAGTCTCATTTTATTGTCTTTGGTAGAGTGCCATGGCGTCACAGCTCACAGCAACCTCCAGCTCTTGGGCTTAGGCTATTCTCTTGCCTCAGCCTCCTGAGAAGCTGGGACCACAGGTGCCCACCACATTGCGTAGCTATTTTTTGTTGCAGTTTAGCCAGAGTCGGGTTTGAACTGACCACCTTCAATATATGGGGCTGGCGCCCTACTCACTGAGCCATAGGCTGTGCTCTGTGCAGAAATTTTTTAATTTGATCAGGTCTCCTTTATTTTTGTTGTTGCTGTGATTGCTTTTGAGGTCTTCTTCATAAATTCTTTCCCAAATCTGATATCTATAAGAGTTTCCCAACATTTTCCTCTAAAATTCTTAGTTTCATGTCTTAGGTTTAAGTTTTTTATCCATTGTGAATTGATTTTTGTAAATGATGAGAGGTACAGATCCTGTTTCAGTCTTTTACATGTGGCTATC